TTTTCCCATCTGCAATGCTGCATGTATAGGTCTAAAATAATGGGGAAGCTTGTGAAATAGAAAAGCTATGCCTTTTTCTTCTGGCTCTTTATCCATAATTTTATATTACTAATAATATATTTATTCAAATTCTCATAATTTGAAATTTAATTTTAATTAATAAAGAATTTCTAAATTTTGAACTTTGCAAAGTGATGGTTATGGATACAGATTGATATTGCAGAAGTTTAAATGTAATATAGACATCTTTCTTCTTTGAATATTATAAGGCAAAAGGGAATAACTGTACATAAAGACATATTTAGTTTCATATGATGTGTCTCTGAATTCACCCAATTTTAAAACTCACCCATCTGTGAGTATGAGTAGGGCAAAGTGTGTGAAAGTAAAACAAGTGCAAAAATTTCCCTGTATACATGAGTATAGTCGTATACATACATGTACATGAGCAAGAACATGTCTTGGAGCATGTAGTAATTAGACTAAAGTTAGTTCTTACTTTTGCTTACTGGCAGTGTTTCCTATATATGTGTGCGTAAGGTATGTTTGACTGTGTAGACTGCCATGCTTTTTGTAGAAAATCTTGAATTCAATTTGTGTTTAACTGAGCTCTTTGATGATAAGGTAAACCTTTGCTAAACCACTTAGGCTTGTTTCACAAACATTGCATTGTATAATGATGCCTCTATAACCCATTGAATATAAGTCTGATCCCTGTAAGAGCTACATAATATTGTACAAGATGCCCTTGACTAGTGTTATGTTTATGGATGCAAGAAGATCATCGGTCTTGTCCACTTATCATTTCACAGCCATCAAAACAATTTTTCTGCCATTGTTTTCCTCCATGTAAGAGGACCTACCACGTAATATTGCTTGACATCCTTTCTAGTTGCATAATTTTTAAAATAAATTGACGTAGATGCTGGACTGTTTGGTTTCTTGTTGGCAACTGAAAGAGGGGCAGATGAACTATCAAAATAATTTGAGACATTTAATGGCTCTATGTACTTCCTTTAACCTTCTTCAGTGTTTACAAGCACTAGAATAAGAGCCCAATTTAGAAACTTAAGCGGCACATGTATTTTTATCTCACCATTTTATGGCATACAGAACCTTTAAAAAGAAAAATAAGACATACATATGCATGAACAGGTATATTGTTCATGTGTTTGTTTAAAATAATCTTTTTTTTTTTACCCTATTAAATGTGTTTCAACAGACATTTTAAATATTTTTTACATCCGATTTTGTATTCCTTTGTATAATGAGGGTCACAGTTTGTGAAATGACACCCTTACTGGTGACATGCATGTATATATTCACTGGAGACACCTCAGTGGAAATTCAGAAATGTCTTTTTATAGGAAAAAAAATTGTTTCTGCTTCAAAACAACATGCAGAGAAAAAAAGAAATCCCAGGTCATCTGTATCCAATAAATGATTTGTGAAGATTGTCAACTTCCATTTAAGCATGCAGACTGGCACATTTTAACAAAAATACATATCTATGGTACAAAGTGGTGTCTGAACAAAATCTCAAGCAAACTGGTTCTGTATGTGTGTATTGGGCTTAAGTTTGTATCCTTCTTGACAAATGTGGGTCAACACCGTGTCAGCATTGGGTTTAAAAAGTAAAGATAGGGGCTGCTTTTCTGTTGGCAAAGACTCTCTGATGTCCGCCGATAAGGCTGAAGTAGTCTGCACTCGTTTTCCAATGATCATCTCTAAAGACTCGGTTATCATGTCAGAGGTGTAAATACTTGGGTCTAATATGATCTGTTGACAAATGAGATAGAGGTGGGGATCAGTTATGAAATGATAAGATTTTGTCTTGTTTTGATTTCATTGTGGTGAATGTACTTTTATTCTTTTCACTGTTGGGTAAGACTGTGGGCTGATCTTTTAACTGGACAATGGTCAGGTGGTGTTGATTGTGTCAATATTTGCTTTTTGGATGATCCCGATTTAATGAGAACTTGTGCCAGACTTTCGGTGCTGCATATTGATCGTATTGTAGATTCTGAATCAAGAAGGTTAAGCTAAATCACCCAGTCCCCCCCCCCCCCCTCCCCCTTTATTACAGAAAGGAAAAACAAAAGCTTGTTTAGGCCTTGTTGAATCAATACTTGGAGAATTTTTCAAAATTTTATACTTCAGTAGTTGAAAACTGATGATATTAGATATTTTTTTATGAGGAGATTATGAATGCACTTGATCTGATCAGTTAAGTTATAAGCAAAGTAAGTCTGCTTCTTTTCTTTGATGGTACCATACAATCTGTTCCTTAAATGATATTGAAAAAGGGGGAGGGGATGGGGACTGGGGAGGATAATTTTGAGATGTTAGGATAGGTAAATAAATGGTGCACAGCCTTGATATCTAGTAAGGATGTCACAACATCACTCTCTTTAGATGATGGTCGATGTATTGATTGTATCATTTATTAATTACACTTTATTCCTGGGTGTTAAGATTTTTATCTGACATTTACTTTGTTGAATTTACTGATCCTTGTACCTCAATCAATTGTAAATTTTATTTTTGAGACATTACAACCTTTATTTGGTTATGTTGAACACAGTATTCAGTTGCTGCTGATCTCACAGTTTTAAGAGGTTCAGTAGTATTATTGCTGCCTGGTACAAATGTATAAGGATTGTCATTAATTTTAGGACTGCTGAGTTTCTTCAAACCCCATCAAGTTAAACAAGATCCCTACAGATAAAGGGCATTTGGTTTTTCATCTGTGTTCTGACAGACCAAACAATGCAGTTCTTTATTACTGGGTTCTAAGGGTCCATACACAGTGATGCAAATGAACTTGGCACACACTGTCATAATGCTTCAGGGTAAATATGATAAGAGCTCATAAATAAATATATTATTAATAGTTAAAAGATTAAATGTTTGGGTTTTCCAGGGTTTTATGCTATATGAATAAGAAATGAATTAATGCTTTTATCAGAATGTGACCTTGACCTTCTATACAAAATACATATGATGTAATAGTTTTTGGTTTTCCTTTGACCAAACGTAGCTTAAAAACTAAGAATTGCCCGATTTTTGCAAAATTTAAAATTATATTTCCCACTTTAATGAACATCTATTCCAATGAACTCTGGATATCTTTTTAAAATACCTTAAACGTCAACATTATCAAATTTTATAAAGCTGAGCAGCAGCCTGAGCTCAAATGAGTTTTTCTGGCATGGGACCATAAAAATTGGAGTAGCTCACTCTTGATCTCAGTCTCACTCTTACATATATAGAGGATAGGTGAGACTGAGATCAAAGTGAGCTCATTTAAGATCATGATCAAAATTTTTCAGTTTGTCTCTCATCACCATTGTGTCATTGTTATTGTAAACTTCCCACATTTTTATCTTTTTTGACTGATTTCAACTTAACTTGAAAGAAGCATCTTTGGATGAAGGCACTTTAAGATTATTGAAAAGTGCCATATCCTCTTTGAAAGGAACATAATCCAAGATTTTTTTTTTCATTTCCATTAGAAGAGCAGGCAGGTGAGCACTGTGGCTCCTGGACCTCTTGACAATTTGCATTCTTATTACTACAGTTAGATGATTTTACAAGAGATTATACAAAAAAAAAATCACCCTCTACTTTCATACAGTTTTATATAGAGCCCCCACCCCCCCAAAAAGGTCTATGTTCCATACAGAAAGAACACTAAATTGTTCAATTTACATGCAGTTGACTTCTGTCTTCTAAAATCAGTTCAAGGTATTTTTAAGTAAATTTAAGGTATACAAGCATATCAAATGACACTGATTATGCAGCACCAAATCATTGTACAGAAATGTGTGGAATTGGAAGGAAAAATGACTGACCATGGAAATTAATTGCTTCAGTGTATCGTGTGTCAAAACTTTCGCGACCTTCCAATATTTTTGGTACACATCTGTTGATTAAGAGTATTCCTTGCATATTTGTCAAGTGAATATGAGAAATTTACTGCTCCGAATCCTTGCGTTTGTACTTATATGGTATGATAGAGGAAAACACTTTGCATTTTAATGCGAGAGAAGTTTCATTAATTGGAGATTTAAGTGAGTCATTGGATAGTTGTGAATATATTTAGCTTCAATTTTACGCAAATGTGGGTCAGAACTAGATCTGACAGAGAATGACGTAATATCAATTTTTCATTTCACTTAAATATCATAAAAGTGGATTGATTATGCACCTTTTTTGCAGATGATATGCTTCATTGTTTTATTTTTATTTATTTAAATTTTTTTTTTGGATGTTCAATGTAAACGTTTTAAAGAATTCTGGAAGATATCTGAAGTATTTGAATTATGGGTTCAAGTGTCTCTCTAATTGGCCATGCAATCTCTTATCTCAATCATAGTGATCAGCACCCCATTGCAAACAGATAAATCGGAAGTTCAAACACTATTTTTACGTCAAACTAAGATAGAATAGAAGTAGACACATGTTATTCGTAATTATTCTTTGTCACATTTCATCAAAATATTTTACCTACATGGAAGAGGTTACCCTGCCAAATATTTGCTTTATTTGCTTTGTGATAGGAATGACAGAATTGCGGTTGAAGTTTTTTTTTCATTCATTGATTTGCATCTAAAGCTGAATAACTGGAATTGTTCTTGTGGTTTTGACAAAAAATATTTAATCGATCATTTGAAGATTTTGTTTATTCATCTATTTTTATTAAATTTGCTATTGCTTTTTTTAACTTTCAATTTTGACATAGTGTTGTTTATACTGTGAGGTTTCCCTAAAGATGTTGAGTATTCCTTCAAAAATGATCTAGCATAATAATATGCTCATAAACAGGGAAATCATATAATAACATTCCTAATTTTTTGTGTGTTTTGATCCTGAATATATATCATTCAAAACCAAAAGCGGGTGACACAGGTCATTGTAGAATAATAGATTTTGATAAATATTTTCAAATTATTATAGTTGAATTGATGTTGATAAGAATGTAAATATTTTTTTTACAGTCTTATTAAAGGAGAAGATTGAAAATGATAACCTGCAAAACAAAACCCTCAAGATCACAGACTTTGGCTTGGCCCGAGAGGTTTCCAAGACAACCAGGATGAGTGCGGCGGGGACCTACGCATGGATGGCCCCTGAGGTCATAAAAACCTCCACCTACTCCAAAAACAGTGATGTCTGGAGGTAAGTCCTAGTCCCTAATCTGGGGATGTCCCATAGATATATTGCTATCTAGGCCAAAATAAAATTATAGTTTGTTTGGAATTGCCGCCCGCCTCATTAAAATACCCCCCGCTCAAAAAATTTTATTGGCAAAATATTGAAAATATTTTTTTATGGTTTTATCGTCTTACATTGTTTATTACAAGTTAGTTTGTTTGTGGAAATAGCTTTTAAAAGTCGGGTTTGAGCTCACATTAATTTAACAACATCCGCTTTCTTCATAGTATTTATGATGTAGCAATTATAGGTGGCGAAGTGTATGTTGGAAACATTCAAGCGTTGTGTTGAAGAGCAGAACATTTATGCATCTCTATAAAAATAAAAGGTGAATGAAAAATTAAATGGAATGATACATCGATACCTAGAAAGAACTATTGTAATAGATTGCACATCGAACTTGATAATTTAAGTCCGTGTTGAAAAAAAAAGATCGTTCAGTTCCCACTTAAAAAATTACATGGATCAGAAACATTTTATCCCAAATACTAAAGGAAAAATGTTGTCTGTCAGTATGCACACAAACACACACACAGTCCACAAAACATCCCAAGTATTCCTAAGAAATTTTGTGTGGTTCAAACTGATTGCATGCATTGTCTTAACAAAGGGGTAAATTTCAAAGAGAAATACTACGAAATAGACTGATAAAATTATTGTTTAATAAAGATTTCTCAAAATAAACTAGAAGTTTGATGCTGAAACTTAACTATTAATAAATGAACAGAACTTAACTTCTAAATGAGATTAATATTTGAGTACCGTTCTGTGTATATCTTTTTTTTCAAAATCGGACCAAATAATATTAATTAAATAAAAGAAGGAGGATAATAAATGGAAATTACCACTGTTCATTGAGATTTTATTTTTTTTATCATTTAGCTTCAATTTGTAAAATAAAATAAAATAAAATCCCTCCCTCCCTCCTGGGTCTGAAAACCCCCAGGCGGCAATTCCAAACAAACATTTTTTTAAGGATGGCCCTATTCATTTCTCACATCCCCAAAACATGTCTAGAAGTGTATACCACCACATTCTTACTAGCCCCCCCTCCCCTCCCTGCACACAAACACACACACAGTCCTTGTGAATTTTTTATCATTACATACTGGACCCTACTAAGCTACTGAAATACTCTGTTAAAAATATAGTCTTTTTGGATAGAGATGAAGAGATATGCATAATATATACATAAAATGATAATTATGATTGATGCTTTACAGTAATGGAAATGATCTTTAAAGTCAATGATCACAATTTTTCATGTAAAAATAGAATGGATCATTCATTAATTTTTCCATGTAAAGAGATACGGATGTTTGATGGTCTATAAGAAAATTTATCATGTCAGAAAACCACAAAGCACTTAAAAATACATGTTTGTGTGTGCCTTGACGTCATGAAATTTATTATTGTCAGGAATACAAATATGGTAATAGGAATAAAATTTTAGATCCTAGGAGAATCTTGCAAAGATCAAAATATACATTTTTCAACAAATATGACAACTAGGAAAAAGTAGGAGTTTTATAAGATTTTTACCCATCCTACTTCTGTCTGTTTAGAAACACTCTCAGCACAATAGGCCAGTGTTTGAAAATCGTGAATGTGGGTTTTAATCCTAGAGGGCTTCTTTACTAGATACCTTGCCTTGTCAGACGATATCACCTGTTTGGTTGGGGTGGAGTGTGGGTCCTGACTATACAAAGAAACTGAAGGGCAAAGATCTCTAGCTTGTTTTGTAACAAGCACTTCATAAAAAGACACCACTTTATTTATTTTATACAAGTCTTTATTGTGCACTCTAAAAATAAAAACCCGGTAAATATCAGGTGTCAAATGCTTGCAGTATCACGACATTTTACAAGTTTATAGTTAATTAAAGGTTATTTACCTACATTGCAAAGTTTTAATGATCTTGTTTTGACAAAATAAAATTAAAGCACATTATTGAACATTATATGTTGTAACCATCTATCTTTGATAGCATACATAAACTTTAATTGCTAATTAAAGTCACTGAGAAAAACTTCGGAAGTTTGCCCATAAATATTTATTGGTTGGATCTATGGCTTTACATTTTACTGGTATATTTCTTGAGACAAGACCTTTCTTTGGGTACCATACTACCATCACATTTGACCTCTTTGCCTTGAAATTTGATATACTTTTGCAAAGTTCTACCATATTACATTAACCTTGGCCTAATCTTTTGAATGGTTGTGTTTTAGAGCTGTCAATTTTCACTTGTATATATCTTGCAAAAAAATACTTTTCTTGAGTACCAACAAATTTGACCCATTGACCTTGAGTTTGACCCACTTTTGAAAAACTTTATCCACTTTAGAGGGGTTGGTGATAAGACTTTTGAATTTCACAGGTTCATTCCTTGTGAGCTTCTCTTTGGTATCAACAATTTTACCCTCTGGCTGTGACTTTTGAGTTTGACCTAGTTTTGAAAAAAATAAAACCTTGGCCATTACATTGGAATGGTTGTTGCTAGGGCTTTCAATTTCACAGTTCTATTCCTTTTTGACAAGGCATTTCTTTTGGCAACAACATTTTTGATCTCTTGACCTTGACTTTTTAGATCAATTTACTTTCAAAAAAACAACCTTTATGACCATAACTTTTGAACATGGCATTCATATTTCATATGTACATGTATATTTTTTGTGACAAGACTTTCAATGGGGAGCATTAATTTTTACCCTTTGACCTTGACTGGGGTTGACCGACCTTTGAAAAACTTTAATGGATGGGATACAGCAAAGGGAATTAACAGATTATATCAAAGTCATTTGACAGATCTTGTGAAGTTTTAACTTAGTTTATTTAACCATACAATTTACATTGTGATTTTATGTAATGTTAAATCTTTCTCTACATATGTTTCAGTTATGGTGTTGTTCTGTGGGAACTGTTGACAGGAGAGACCCCCTATAAGGGGATAGATGCTCTGGGGGTAGCCTATGGAGTTGCTGTCAACAAGCTGACCCTTCCTATTCCTTCCACATGTCCAGGCCTTTTCGCACAACTCATGTCAGGTGAGAGCTCGACTTAAAATTTTGTGTGTTTGGTTTGTCAGTTTGTCTCTGAAGTTTATGTTCACCTCAATAAAATTTGGGAGATCTTTTGTAACACCCCAACATCGGCGTCAATTTTGATGTCTTCCCAGGTTAAGGGTCTTGAAGCAGGTTCATTCTAAAGTGCATAAAAGCCCTATGCTAAGAAACTTTGCATTAAAGATACATGTACATTTATAGAAACACTACTAGAGTTGCTTTGGATACAGGATTTGACCTAAATTTTCCAAATGAGTTACCAGATTAAAGTTTTAGGAGTAGGTCCATTTCTAAGAAACTGTATTGCCCACCTGATCCAAATTTGCATCGCTCATGCATCAAGGGATGCACCTTGCAAACGAGCAGATTTCTTCAGATATTGGATTTGACCTACATTTTCCAGCTGGGTGAGCAGGTTAAAGTTTTTGAGCAGGTCTGTTACCAAGAATTTGTCAGGCGTATCTGAACTAAACTTTCATGGATGATGGATCAAGGGATGCACACTAGCAGATTTGCTTCAGATGCTAGATTTGAGCTATATTTTCCAGATGAGTGAAAGTGTTTTGAACAGACTTATTCCAGTGTAACTTCAAGTCCTATCAAGACCAAAACTTGCTTGGATGATGCATCAAATGAACACTTTCAAACTTCAGATTTTGGATATAACTCTTACATTTAGTGGATGAATGACTAATTAATAGATTTTGGAAGTTAATTTCTATGTTTTTCATTGCTGTCTCTCATTTCACACTTTTAATTTTACCCATATTTTATTAATTGCATACAAAGTTGGAGGTAGTTTGTATGCATTCAATTTAATATTGAGAATATTGTGTTTGCAACATGAACAAAAGCAAATCATTTCAATATTTTGTTCACTATCTAGATTGCTGGCATCAGGAGTCTCATCAGAGACCCACTTTCGCAGAAATCCTTCGCCGGTTGGATGAAATTTCCACCTCGCCATTTATGACCACCCCTCAAGAAAGCTTCCACACTATGCAAGAGGACTGGAGGCAGGAAATTGAGGAAATGTTTAATGAGCTGAGGAGTAAGGAAAAGGTAACTCAGAGTGTTAAAAGGGAGATTATCTTCCAGTAGAGTACCAAATATTAAAAACTGGCTGTAAATGTGTGTTTCTCTCCATGTTAAGTTTTCAACCTAAAGGGCAACACTTTGACACACCATGTATATATTATTCAAGCTCATAATAGTGGACCCCTCACGGTAGCCAAGTGGTAGAGTGTTCACTTCATCAGGCCCCAGTTTGACTTTCATTTGCAATGCATTTGAAATATTAGATGTAAACATAGGTATTGACAGTCATTTACTATTCCTTTACATCAAATAAGGATTCAGTCTGCTGAGTTTGATCTTGGGAGGTTGTACACAACAAACAATAAAATTTTAGTGTAATATGGTTGCTGTCAAATGCATGTTGTCCCTTTCCATATCTTCAGTAAAGAGAAGACGTGTACCCCTGTCAGCTATCAGAACCGTAGTAAAACATCATTAGGTTTCTATTTATGATTTAGCTATTTTATTCTTTTCACCCACATCTGATTTGGAGAAAATTGACCTGAGAACCAGAGAATTAAGTTTATGTACCCTAAATAGTTCAAAATTATTTCCACAATTTTTAAAACATTCAGAAAAAAATAATCTAGAATGTCATTGACTTTTAATTCTTACTTTTATACAGTAACCTCCCTTATGAATGAATAATGTACAAAGTAAGGTATCAAACTGAACACAGGTTCTATAAAAAATTTTACTTGATTAAAAAATCCTTCTGGTAGTTATGATATAACTGAAGATGAGGAGGTGATTTAAGGGTTCTATTTATATTTGGAGTGCATAGTTTTGTACTTGAGGCGGCTTTAATTGAATCAAATAATCAGCATCAAATTTCAAGAGTCGAATTCCCTGCTTGTAGATGTGTAAACATCTTATGGCAGAGAGGTTCAATGGGTTCATTAGAATACCAACATACTGCAAGTACTAGGAATATCTAACGGATAAATGGTCACTGAATAGGAGAAACCTTATTTTGTATAAGGAAATATCTCTGTTTTCAGGATATTGGTAGTTTAATTAGTCTTCTACTTTTCTAAATAACCCATTTTTAAACTAAAATTAAAGAAAATCAAATAAAAGGATGTTTTCACTGACAATATGTTAAATTACTTTTCCCTCTTTGATTCAAAATAGCAAATAAGCTCAGTACATGTATTTATTCTGAAATGATTACTGTATGTAAACTGGGGGGATTGAAATATTATAATTTATATTTTATATATAATTATATAGCCTAGTAGTTACCCTATATTTTGGTCTCAAATAATAGATGTGATTCAGGTCAGGGTTACTTACACTTGCAAAAACATTCTTCGGTTATTTTGGGCAGTATTTTGTACATGTATTATGGAACATAGCTAATACAAGAAAGAAGCTATGCTCTGTCATTGGGTGTAAAGATTATAAATTGAATTCATGTATAAATATATACCAAAACCCAATTAAAATTGATGTAATAGTAATTAACTGATGTTTATGGAAATAAAAGTACCAGTAATATATTGAGGTACGAAAGCTAGCAGGGGATGAAAATACCAAAAAGTCAGATAGTAATGACAATCAATAAAAAGTAAGGCTCTAAAAACAATAGGTTATGAATAATGTAACTAGAACACACAGAATGGGGTGTTAGAAGAAGGCAGAGGTTTCACAGAGGAAAAACAGACTTAAGACTCTTCATTGATTAATCACCTCAAATCCAGGATGTTTTTCATGTCAACTCTCCATTTTTGCTGAGACAAACAAAACGAAAAGAAGGATGCTTATTAAAATGCATTTTTTTATACTCCCTGGTTCAATAAATTATAGGACAGGAGCGTATGAAAGTTCATTGAATCTTCTTTTTTGTATTTATGTAAATATTTTTTTTAAGTTAAGATGAATCTGTGTGGGCTCTTTGTGCTGAGAAGTAACAAATAAAGTAAATTGATATTTTATTTCTATCTCATGTCAATGTCAGTAGATAGACCAGATAGAGATAGCAATACATTGCCCCCTTTTATGTTTACTGTAGACATGTTATGACCACAGATCACTGATTTCAATATCAGGGCTTGCACTGGCTCCAAATATCCTGCATTTCACTTCTATGTTGTTTTTTTTCCCTTCATTATGCAGTATGCTAATTAAATTATTCAGATTAAGGTCTGTTTATGAATTCATTCTGGGCTTCATAATTATTCAAATTTTTGTGAAATATAGATTGAAGAATTAGGGTTAACTTATTTCAAATAAAATTACTTTTAATGCCTTATGCATATTGAACATGTGCATTTAATATGTCCCTTTATTCAAAATAGTCGGATGATTGCTATATGAATATTCTAATTGTATATAGGGTCAATGAACCATTCATTGCTTTTTATCAGATTTTAATTACATACATATACTTTATTCTAACCATATATGAAATTCCCTGAGAATGTTTATTAGCTGATATGCAAGTTTCTGGCCAATCTGGTTAATTTGGATACCTACTGCTTAATTATCCAGGTGTTTAATGACACAGGTATATGGACCTCTTCCTCCTCATTTCACTAATGGAAAATTATTTTTTTATTCATATAAACCTGGAGTAAGGTAAAAAAGGTGTGTGATATGTACTTGATTTTTTTTTAATATAAAAGAATGTTGTTTCAATTTGTTTATCAAGATCAGGATTTCCTATGTTAACATAGTGGGTGTCGATCATTTCTAATCAAATAGGATCATCATTTCCTTTGTCAATATGTATGTTCCGATAAAATTTGGTCACCAAGGCTAACAGTTTGATGCAACTTTTTTTTTCATTTCATATTTAGAAATTATGACATTCTTGATGGCAGTACAATTTGCTTACATGTAAAGTGTTAACTTTGAAGTTCATGTACCAAGTCTTAATTTTGTTTAATGCATAATAAAGATGTATAGAGATATATTTAAAGTATATTAAAAAAAAAGAAATGCTGCAAAAATTAAAGCAAACAGAGCAAAACAATAATTGGATTTCTATTGGTAATGGTTTTGAGCTAGTAATTTATGTTCAGGTGGGTTTTTTTTTTCATTTAATGAAATTTTAACTTTGATATAGAAGATTTCTAAACAATTGTTTATAAAGCAGAACCCCTAAATATTTTTTGTTTTGACTGAATTATCTTTATTATTTCTATAGGATTTATTACCTTCAAAAGTCTACCAGTTAATTTTTAAATAAATTTTCCCTTTCAACAAAAAATTCTATACTTTATATATTTTAGGTAAATTCATCCCTAGATATCTGAGACAGTGTTTGGAATGGACAAACTGGTAAAAACATAAACGTAAATTTGGTATATAATTGACAGATAAGCTTACCTTTTGTGTTTGTGTTGTAGGAATTAAGGAGTAGGGAGGAAGAGCTCACAAAAGAAGCCCTGAAACAGAAGAAGGTGGAGGAATTCCTGTATAAGAGAGAACAGGAGTTAAAAGAAAGAGAGATAGAACTGGTAGAGAGAGAACTAAATATCATGATTCTTCAGCAAATCATGGGCAACCCCAAGCCCAGGACCAGGAAGGGGAAGTTTAAAAAGAGCCGCCTTAAACTCCTCAAGTCTGGTGGCTCTTCAATCAGCGAACCTTCCGGTAATAAGAATTCCAGATTCTTTTAGTTGATTTAAAATTTATTATTCTTCTTCATTGAATTTAGCAGAAATTTTTTAAATGGTATCTGGAATCTTAAATAGATATAAGCTATGCAGTAAATGTTTGTAAACAAAGTTGGGAATATCATTTGTGGTTTTATTTGTGTAATATTTTGTGTGAGTACAATTCTGTTGATACTTGATACAGATTTTCGACACAACATCACAGTGAAGCATGAAGTTCCAGTTCCGGTTACAAATCATAATCCGTCAAGTCCTGACAGCCCACCTCAGTCTCCAACATACACTCCATCCAGACTGAGGGCAATAGCTTGTAAGTATCAGTGTGTGGACAGGGCAGGGGGCAATAACTTGCAAGACAGGGCTGGGGGCAATAGCTTGTAAGTGTCAGCATATGGACAGGGCAGGGGGCAATAGCTTGTAAGTGTCAGCATATGGACAGGGCAGGGGGCAATAGCTTGTAAGTGTCAGCATATGGACAGGGCAGGGGGCAATAGCTTGTAAGTGTCAGCATATGGACAGGGCAGGGGGCAATAGTTTGTAAGACAGGGCAGGGGGGCAATACCTTGTAAGTATAAGTGTATGGAGAGGGCAGGGGACAATAGCTTCAAAGTATCAATATATGTACAGGGCAGGGGACAATGTCCTGTAAGTTTCAGGATATAGACAGAGCAGGAGCAATAGATTGTAAGTATAGATGTATGGGCAGCCCAGGAGGCAATAGCTTGTCTAATATTACAATTGCTTTCTGTGGGATAATGAAAGGTTTTTGTATAGGGCAAAAGGCAATGTTGTGCTAATATTGCTCTCCGATTCGGCAAGAAACATAAGTTTTGCTGACTTGGGTAGAGGATAATAGTATATAAGCTAAAAAGAGTTTGGATCTTCAGGCCAGATTGCTAGAACATGTAAGCATTGCTGGCTAAGCTTGTAATTATTTCTATGTTCGTGGTGTAGAGAGCAATATTTATAGGTTAATACCCAGGTAATTTATAAGTATGCTGTGTAAAAGCTGGAAGGGCAAATATTTCTGACAATTTCGGTCTACATGTTTTGGACAATAGCATGTAATAGTCCTTTGTGCATATTAGAGGGCAATAACTTTAAAAAGTATTTGACAATTTCTTTGAAATATTATCTGTCATAAATATTTCAGTACTGCAGGCCTGGGGGCCATAAAACTTCGACAAGCTCTTTTTTGATCTCAGTCTCACTTATCCACTATTAATTCCTTTGGAAAAAGTGAAACTGATATCAAAAGTGAGCTCATCTAAGTTTTATGGCCCCCAGGCCAGATCCTACGAAGTAAAAGGTCCCAAGTAGTAGCTTGCAAGTACCTCTGTAATAGTGGTTGTACATGTAATGATAAGAAAGGTGCCCAGTAAAGCAAACTTTGTCATTGTTTGAAATCTTGGATAAGGATAAGCATATTTGATGCATTTTTTCGAAAAGCATAATTTTTATATAATTATTTGTATCTTATGTATGTCATTATTTATAATGGTTATAATGCAACAAATACTGACGACAACAATTACTTTATATCAATATTTCACTAAATATCATATATGAGACATTAATTTTTAATAAAAAACTATACTTTACCTGCTCTTTCCTTTCAAACTTTATTTAAAATGGCAAAACAGATTTAATCTATAAATAATGTTTTCAATCATTGCATTAGACATGATCACAATTTATACAAATTGTCAAGAATTTATTTTATTTTAAAAGCATGATTATAATTCCTCATTTTACCCTTGTAGATCCAGCAGATGGAGTGAAGGGTCGAACATGGGGACCAAGTTCTGTCAAAAATGAACGGCACCAAAGAACATCAGTCATTTTTGCAGATGGACGTTGGTCTAAAAGTGCTCCAAACTTAGAACGATCTCTAAAGAATTTAGGACATTCCAATTCAGGAGCACTTAACTCTCTTTGTAAGAATTTTTTGTTGGATTGTTTGTAATATTGAGCATATATTGCAAGGTAAAATTTTGAATGAAAAAAGTATGAATGCACATTATGTTATAAATTTTGGAGATAAAGATGATCAGGTCTTTATAGAAAAAAAAAAGTTTTTCTGTTAGAACTATTGTCCTTGCTCAGAATGTTCACTGATTTATTTTCTCATGAATTTCCAGATGGTGATGAAAATGAGTGGCCAACAGATTTGTCAGAAATCAAGAATAGGAACATTCCATACTGCAGTGCTGATTTTTCGCGACTTGTGAAAAAATCAGAAAGTAAAACAGAGACTGCTTTGTTCAATATAACAGCCATGATGGTTGGGATTGTAACCGGTTGTGATATTAAAACTCTTGGTCCATTTGCCTCAAAGGAGGAGGCAAAGAATCGTAGAAAGCGAGATTCATATGTCATGAAAGGCAGGGACGCTTACAACGCAGCAGTGCGCGATTCTTTTCTGGACAGCGAGGATTATCTTTCGAGTCATTTTTCCTCTCCTTCAGGGTATCCACACCATACGTACCATGGATATCAAGTCCGTCATAGACCTGCTTTAAATCTGGATGTGCCAATAAGATTTACTGAGGAACAGAATATTCCAAATTATTCTCAGACCTCTTCGACTTTTCAATCTACAAGTACAATAGATTCGGATGTAACAGTTCAGCGGAGATCACTTTACGATAGCAATGCTAGTACGCTAGTGTCCAGTTCTCCAAGTCACACCACACTGAAAAGACAGTCCTCTGACAGCAGTACCAGTAATTATGATACCCCTCGTACCTCCCGAAACCTGCAAAGACACTCTGTCACGTTTGAAGATGAGTACCCTAGCAACTACAAATCATACAACACTCAGAACAAACAGTCTCCCCCAAATACCTCAAACTTCTATCTGGATTCTGATTCCCAAAGTCATCTCATCCAGCCAGAGGTCAATAACCCCTGGGGCAATGGAGCCCCACCCAGACCTCCACCATATGTAAGTGATGTACCACCCCCTGTTGTTCCCAGGGACTACCATTCCCGGCAGCAGGAGGATTCAGAACCACCTCCCCCCATACCCCCAAGGAGGAAATTTATCAATCTAAATGGGGATACCCATGCAGAGAGACCAAAGACTCTAGACATTGGGCCCCGTAATAGGCCTCGCCTTCCACCCCCTCCCCCAATCCCCACCCCACAACAAAATGACTCTCAAGACTCCCCCTCTCACTGGTTAGAAAAAAGTGAAAGTTTGGACACGCCTTATTATTCTACCCGGTCCAGTTTATCCCCAGGGCATACACCCCCTCATATCACACATCACACCACCTTACTAGACATTGACGTGGATGGACAAAGTACCGACAGCACAAGGCCTCTACTACGACAAAACGCTAAACATATCTTTGAATTTGGTCAGGAAATGTTGTATTGATTTTTGTTTTTATCAGGACACAAAAATTATAAAGATAAGAATTTTTTGTTATCAAAGAAATTTTTTAAAAAATGAACAATTTCAACCAGGATCTTTAATGTGAAGGATAAGTGTTTTCTGCTACAGTATTTTTATTATCTTGTAGATTTATTGAGAGAATATGTAAGGTAAATGTGCTTTATTTAAAATAAAGCATATATATATATATATATGTATTACAAAAAAAATCCCTCAAATGAGTGTATGTTCAGAATATTTAGAAATATTTTGTCTCTATTGTACATTAATATTTTTTGTAAATATGAAATAGTTTATGATATTTTTACCTGTTTTATTTATCAAATGTGTGTATTCATCTTCCATTTTGTTGTGTTTTGTTTACTGAAAGTTTTATACCCATGAAGTTATATATCCAGTATGTGTAGAGGTGTAGAATCTATTGTGAAATGTGATACATATTTAAAATCCAAAATACATGTATAAACACTGTATAGAATATTGTCTAATGCATAGATATTATGTGTAGGTCAGATTTTATTTCATATCAAACTGATGTTATCAGTTCAAAAAATAGATTTGAAATGCCAATCAGTATAGAGTATTTGAAAACAAAAAATTTTATAAAGGAAATGTATAGGTAATGATCCAGACTATTGTGCCATGGGAAATTTTAGATTTTTTTTTTTTTAGATTTTATATCAGAAGTTTGTATTTAAACTTACAAATCCCTTGGTTATAGGTAGGACTTATAATTTTTTTTTTATAAATGAGTGGAATATTTTTAAGGTTGAATATTAGCATGTCTGAACTGAAGACGAAAAGCCATATTTTTAAATTGTGCCTGTGTTTATGGAGAAAAAGACTCATCTATATTTTGTAAAACCATTAAGTTCATTATATGCAAATTTCAAATACGCAGATATGCCAAAAATATGTTCTTGGACTACGTAAGCTTTTGGGTAGTGTTGAAAACGATATCACCTTTCTCATCAGAAAATTTGCAAAACTTTACCCTAACAAAATGGATAGAGTACATACATAGGATTATACGATATAAGATTGAGATGAAATGTCAAATATAATGAATTTATTATCAAATTTCTCAACAATAAAGTGCTATATTTCTGAAAAGTTTTATTTCAGAGAATAAGTAGGAAGATCCTTAAGTAACATACAGGTTTTACTACTGGTGTTTTTCAAATTTTCTGAACAAATTGAAAATCTATTTTGGCTTCTTTTTGCAATTGTGATCATTTGCCCCTTCTGTGAATACATGTATATCAATTAAATTCACTATTTTTAAATTTTGATCATTTTAATTTGCAGTAAAGATAGGAAGAAGGAAAAATGAGACTAAACAGTAAAAAAACTGGTTAATTTCTTTTTAAAAATATTTAGTAATTAATGTAATACTGGTACATGTATAATGAACGCATAAAACTTGAAAGTAAAAGTACCCCTGCTAAACCCATTTATCAGCAGATTTTATTTTTATTTCACCAGTTCCTTTCTTTCACACAAACAATTTTGCCCCTTTTTAAATATACCCAGATATACCTGTCTTTAAGAGATAGCATGTCTTCTTTTCACCCCCCCCCCTCCCCCCCCGCTCCTGTTTAAAATTAGCTGACTTGTGAGGGGAAAATAATATGAGGGCAAACATTTCCCCTTATACAAATAATGCAAACAGAATAAAAGATAATAAAACTGCATGTGATGGAATTTCCCCCATTTTCCTCTGTATATAAAATGATATGAAGATGCATATATACTGTTGATAGGTCTAATATTTCTTTGCTTTTCTCATCATATGATTAAAGGGCTTTTATAGGATGTTGAAGGCTATACAAAATTTTACCTACATCGTACATTTCACAATAAATTATATTATAGTGAACTTGATGCAATGCTCATAAAGAGAGAGAAAAATAATTATGAGGGATTTTTAAATGTTTGTAATAAGGTGGTATTCATTTTTCAGGCCAGTTATGTGTAGCAGTTTGAATAATTTTGCACTCTGTGTAAATTTATGACAAAGAGCATTTTAAATTGAGACATCCCCCTGGTAATGTTAGGATTAATAGATATGTTGCATTGTTGATTGATTTTTCTGTTTTACAAATGTACTCTGTTTTATGATTCATCAACTCTGTGCAACCTCTGTGATGTATCATCTTTAATCAGTTAGCAATATATATATGTTATTTTCTTTATAGAAAATGATATGCATAGACTCCATATAAATGTTCAAATCTGTCTTTCTCTTTGTAAATTATAATCATTATCTACCAATATGTTTGTGTCAGGACGGTTCCATATGAGATAGTTTTGTTTGGTTTTTTTTTCTCCTCTTCTCAGAGTTTCTAAATGTCTAAAATTGTCTGATAAAATTGAGTACAGATAATTCATACAAAGCTAGATAAGTACATTGTAGTATATTGATTTTATTTTTCCCTCTCTATTTCAGCAGTAAGTGAAAATAGCAAATTATTTTGAATGGATGTTGGCTATTTTTTATTTAAAAAGTTAACTATTTAGAAAACTTATGTGTGAAATCAAATTATGTCAGCCGGTATACTTCAAATTTATCTTGCTTTAGGATTTTAATGAAAAAATGAACATTATCAGGGCTAGATTCAATGTGCAACACAATGCACAGGGCATTTATTAACTACCTCGTTTATAAAGTTCACTCTTTTTGTCAGACATGTCAGATCAGAAACTTTTAAATGATAGTGCTGAATAAAACATTGATGAAGTTTGAATTCCAAATGGAACTTATCCTGCAATCAAAAGATTGGTAGCTATATAACTGCATCTTGTCAGACCAAATCAAGGAAGAATATATTATAGTTTGTCTCAAAACATGAACAACGTATTGTATATTATATAATACACTATATATTTGAAAAGTAAAAAAATGATATGCAAACACATATTTTTGTTGATCTTTAATTTTTTGTGGCCCCAGTTGTTTGACCAATAGAGCTGAATGTGTGTTGCATCTCATGTCATGCAATATTATTACCAGAGTTCGACTCTCTTTGTTTGGAACATTTACAACTAGTCAAGGACTCAAGGTTAAGTTCCTGACCTGTTAGGTACATTGGTAATTATCCGAGTCCTTGTAGTACCTTTGCCACTAAATACTAGTATGCAGTATTCAGAGGATTTGATAATGACCATTACTGGTAATTCACAAAACAACAGTATATCCATTTATCCTTTGTAGGACTGTGTTAGCAAAAAAGACACAAAATGACCATAGGTAAAATAAAAAGGAGGGATATACTCACAGTAGGTCTAAATATATAGTGTGGAATCCAATAATTCCAATTTACCTAATCCTTGTCTAGTTCTAAAAACAAATTTCAACATCTTACACCTACTTGGAACTTCTGCAAAACCAACTTTCCAAAGGAACCATTTGGTTTGACAACTTCATGAAAGTTGTCAATATTTGATGCAGTTGATCAGTACTGTTTGTGGTTTTAATTCCAAATGCAAGTGCTAAAAATTTTGCTGAAAACGCTCTTGCTTAGTACTGTCTCTGCACACAGTCCATGGGACTAGTAAAGGTTTCAGGAGTAGTGAACATGATCTTCATTGTTTGCTATTATAAATATTTTTCTTCTATTTTTATGCCCTCTTCAAAGAAGGGGGGCATATTGCTTTGCTGCTGTTGGTTTGTCAGACCGATCGGTCCACCAACAGTTTCTGTTCATTTTCTTTGCAGAGGTTGCACATACTGAAAGGAAATTTGGTAGGACAAGTTCTGTTTTTGGTACAATCGAGCAGTCGCCCGCGTGGCGCAGTGGCGTCTGCTCGAAGAGTCGCGAAGTAAGGGGTTAAACCTTACATCCCGGGTTCGAATCCCACTGTGAGAAATGAAGACATCCTTTGGATGAGACCCTATAAACCGCGGTCCCGTGTCGCAGTAGGTGCTGGCACGAAAAAGATCCCTCACTGCTCAATGGCCCTAAGTGCCGAGTATAGGACAACCTTTTTATTTCTCCACCGGCAAATGGTGGCGTCTCCATATAAATGAATAATTCTCGAAAGGGACATTACATGTAAATAACATACAATCAATCAATCATTCGGACAATTTTTGACAGTCATCCCCCTTGTCTGGGGGAGGGAGGGAGGAAGGGGATAAGTGTTTCAAAAACATGTCATGTTGGTAAAAGAAATGGATTGTAGCAAGGTAAACAGGGAATCTGAGGGTACCAAGTTTGTGTTCTTCAAAATGGTGTGACCAAAATTATCACGAAGTTGTCTCATCTCACTTTTTTCTGAAGGACGTGTGATATCAAATAAATGAAGAAAGAGCACAAGCTTTTAAATGGCTTCCATTATATTGAGAAAACGTGTCTTTCATGCCTTGGGATGTGGCTACCGAATACACACTTCGGGATCATATAATCCAAATGACTAGCAGACAGGTCGACCTGAGGATGAAATAGGTTTGAATAATATGGACAGGCTCGTAGATTGCGGGGGAGGGGGAGTACAGTATTTTTGCTTACATGTAGTTAATTTTCCTTTAGATGCAGGTTGTCCCTCCCCCTTTTATTGCTTTAAGGATGAGCACTGGTTAATTCCAAGATGGACGTTACAGTTAATATTTTTTGTGTGTGTGTCTGGAAGGTTACCCCCAGTTGCCCTCTTCCACTTTTGAAAGCGTTGCTACTGGCCTGCATGGTAGAACAGATGCTGATTTAGCTGCCATATACCATCTGATCAAAAACGCCTTCTTTGACATTTTCTACTCCTGTATTATGTACTGCTTCAAATAAATATTTCTTTAGTTTATTGCCTACTCCCATACCGTGGCAATGGAATCCATGGTTTTTGAAGAAGCTCCTTCCCAATTTACGTATTCCACTGCTTATCTGTTGTGGTACGTGTATCAGTTTTAATATGTGTACTTGTATATGTAACAATGATTTATCCTGTGTCCATCCTATTGATAAATTCTGATTGTTCATCACTCCCTTTCCCCAACCATTCTTCAACAAAATCGTCGATCTGTCATTATGACTGTGACTAGGTCTTGTCCTGGAAACGAATTGGTTTTCCATAGCACGGATGCACATTGTGGATCCACTGGTGAAGTTCCTGTCGCGAATCTTGAGACCGTGTTACTGCTGCTTGATATGTCTGATTCTGGAAGGTTTTCCTCAGAATATTAATGGATTGAGCCTTGGTAAGTAACGGATTATTCCAATGATATATGCGACAGATTGAGTCAAGACAACAGGTTATGGGTTTTCGGCTAGAACTAGTTAGATTTTCTGTAGGGGGTAGACATATCTCTGTATATAGATATCTGGATATTTTACCAGAAAAAGACGTTCACAAAGCATTATGATAAACGTGATGACGAGCTTTTCAATCGTCGACTTCCCTTACTTTTGCAGCAATATACCTTTGTCGCCAGTCCTGCATACGGAGTTTATATCGCTCAGGCGATTCCGCATGCTCTCAGTTGATTCCACAGGTGCTTGACGTTTTAACCCTTCTTTTCATAAATAAAAATTCCCTAATCTGTAATTATAATATGGAGAATTTTTTATCTATGAAAAGAAACCCCGCGTCAAGCACCTGTTGTTGATTCGATGCAGAGAGCATTCTCTATACGTATGACCATTTTCTAAAACGAGGTAAGTTATTGACAAACAAGCTGATAAAGCAAGAATACCAGCAGTCTCGTGTAAAGTCATCATTTCGTAAGTTCTATGGTCAATACATCATTTAGCCTAATGCTATGGCACGTCAAATTCACAAAAAACCTCGTCTTAAACAGGTCGTCAGTTGTGAAGTGTTCAGTATCAACTACGAGGGTTGATCCAAAAGTTCGTGGAATTTCTTACTAAAATTTTATCATGATTTGACAAAAGCAGACAATAGGCATATTTATAAAATATCTGTCTGTAATAAAAAAATCACCAAGAAAATTTCATATCTCACGTTTTAATTGACACCCTGAAGAATAAGGTCACATGTTCAAACAACTTTCTTTAAAATGGAAATGGTTGTGAAACCCGGTGATGCTGCCAAGACTAAACGTCAAGTTAAAACAGTATGTCACGTCACGTAATAGACGCATGTGACCCTTTTCAATGTCAAATTCGAACACGTAATTCTTCAAAATTGCTTCCTTGCCTAAGATTTTCTATATATTTACATTAAGTAAAGTGACTTAGTATTATCAGTTTTTAAAAAGGTATTTCTATTATATACTTACAACACATTTTAACTCATATTTCAAAATATCCCCCGTCTAAATTACATGTATGAATGTTCCGATTGCAGTAGCAATGGCTTAATAACACGTACGATAATTTAACAACGTCTATTTTCGCATTTTAATTTACAATAATGGGATTTAAAGAGGCAAAAAGTTGCATGTATAGATTAATAAGGATCGTTTTTATTAAAACAAGGTGCTACAAAACCTGTTAAACAACGTCCATGAAGGTTATTTTTTCTTCATTTTCTTAATCACACTTGAAAACCAGTTGCTATAAATATAATATATAGATTGGTGAACTTGTTTTTTATTGGATGCACTTTGATCTTAAATCACGTGATTGTTTTGGTGGGAATTTTCTGCTCTTCTTTTGTTCTCATTGCCAGAAAGGATCGAAATTTGAATGTGCGCCTAACATATATCTTGAATTTGATGTGTTCAAAATAATAAATTTTTATCAACTAATGAAAATAATTATCCAGTAAAATCAGTAATTTGTTCACACACAAAGGTTTTTAATGTGGTCAAGCAATCGTAATAATGACATAATATTAACAAAAGACATCAGGGCATGTTTTATGACTTTTTCCTTGTTTAATAGATGTACATCGTGAATGATGTGGTGAAATGGGAAATACCCGATGGACTGCCCTCACTTTGAACTGTTGAATGTCTCCCCCGCATTTGAATGACGTCTCTGGAGGAATTCTTCTCTGTGCAGTTTTTTTTCTCAACAGGCAGATCCCATGGAAGTGCAAGGTAATTACAAAGTTGTGTTTTAGCCTAAAAATGTTTTTAATTTAAAATATTTCACTCACTTGGAAAAGATTTTATGCACAGGTAAATTTTGAAAAAAAAAAATTTCACTTATAAAAAATGAAATGAATGCATATTTCCGGAAGAAATTCCAGCGCTTTTAAAATACAAGTCAACAAACAGTAATTAAGGTAATGGTAAAATTATGTATGTCCAATGCAATGGTTACATTTAGGTGTATCAAAGTTAGATAAATGCATGTAGGTTTATTTAGCTGTACAAAAAGTTTAAATTACTGTGAAGCTGACTTGAACTCTTAAAAAGGCATCATTTTTCATCTTTTTACGTTTACATTCCTTAGTTAAAACTATATTGTAACGGTTGTTCACTACAGTTAGAATACGTCCCATATACTTGTAATGTTTATCTGTTTGTAATAAAAAATTTGCACAATAGTTAAAAATAATCAAAACAAACCTTCTGTTGCTTATGCCTTTTATCCCAAAAAGTAATCCATATAAATACGAAAATCCAATTCATTTTGCACTGTTCAAATTAACTTCTCTCTAAATTCATCGGAAATGTGGTGGTGGGATAGGTGATGCTGCCAAGATAAACAGTACTTTTAAAACAGTAATACGAACTCAATAATGACGCATGTGACCCTTTTCAATTACTTGTCAAGGGATTTCTAGCTGTGGAGTTGTGCCCCACCGTTCCACCCCCGGCTTTGAAATTGCTTCCTTGCCTAAGGTTTTCTATATATTTATAAATGTACATTCGCAAAGAAGACATAAGTATAAGTTAAACAATTAAATTTATTAAATGCATTTTTTAAAAAGGTACACCACATTCATCTTAACAACAATTATATACATTAAATAACACATGTTATCCCAAAAATCTATCCCCCCCCCCCATGTC